ACATAGTGGGTGGTATACGACGCAGAAGGAAGCTTTCAGAAAATACATAAAATTTTTACTCACATTTCCGAGTTAAGGACTTGTTGAATATCATCTTAAGTAGTGAAGWAAGCTAGGTTTTATTTTTGCAGACACAATCTATACATAATTCAAACTGCCATGCTTTTAAAAATTCTTACTCAAATATCAAACATTTCAAATAAAATAATTCGTTTAACATGTTTAGTTTTTAGATAAAAAATTTTGAACTGAACTTTTCTCATTCTTTGAGAAACGGAAACATTAAAACGGAAGCCGGAGGATTTTAGAACTTTCACCCTAYAAAAATTTTCTTTAGGAAGTTTAGATACAAACTCATTTTGTCCCTAGGCGTTTTATCACAAGCGCCTCATCTCTAGTTTTCTAACTGACAATTCTTGTTACTGAATAGCGACATTTTAATATTACAAAATTCATAACTTTTTTAATAAAGTTTGAAACAAAGTAATTGGAGCAGTTAATTAATTGAAATGTGGTACTTTTTTTAACAAAAGCGTTCTGTATACAATTTTAGATCTACGATATGATTAAATGAACGCTTTCAGTTGTAAATAATCAATTAAGTTAGGTGTTTGTAAAATCGATTTTTTATACGCAGCGATAATTTAATGATATTTTTTAATTTACAAAAGCACAATACTCAAAAAAAACTCACCAAATTGTTATTCCCAAGATTGTTACTTAAATTTAAAAGATTGTTACAATGTTTGAGAAAAAACAAAATTGTATCCATTGCAATAAAAGCAAAAATATTTACGTAATTTTATGTTACCTATTAATATAAGAAAAAAAAAATTTCACTTTTGTGACAAAAAAAGGACTTGTTACTCACTTATTATCAAACTTCAATCATTTTGAGACAATTAAGAAACACACCTTGTCTTGTTTTGTTTAAAATATTCAGACAATTCTAATAAGTAAGTTTTCCTTAAATCCACATAATTCTGTACAGCGTTTATCAAATTTTCCAACCTGAATATCTGCACATTCATCTTTCATATGCAGTCCATACAATTCCACTGGGAGTSAACATGAGTACACCAAACACAAACAGTATTGTTTGCGGATGCATTTAACCCCAGAGCCAAATCTGAAAGGCTTATTATACGAAAATGCAATCTTTGTAGGAATGTCTAAGCAGCTTACATGTGTATAAACCTGCAGAGTACAATTTTTGCTTCCAACATTTACCCCCATTTCGTTATAATAATCCAGCAGTCAGAGGTTTTTCCTTCACTACAAGCTTTGAAAACGGCTCGTATAAGCAAGAGTTATATTTGTTAGAATTCAATGTAACTAATCCAAAATCGATAAAATTTGTAAAGCTCTCGCAGCCAAAACGGTTCATTAATTTACTGTTTGCGACAAAAAATAAACAGCTAAAATCGATTGGGATGTTCACTTTAACGTCTCTATTGCTGGGATAATTAATCATTAAATGATAATGTTTTAAAGTGTGGCTCACGTTATTAACTGGAGGGTTTTAATAAACAATTTTGGTCTCTTGCTAATATTCAAGCTTCTGTGTCACATATATCGTTGACTCAGATTAATTAAAACTTGCAATTTACCTCAATAACTAATTTCAAAATCAAAATGATTGTAGGCACTCAAAACTTGTGAAATTTAATTAACGCGYTCTGCATATCAAGTTCGAATTCTCTACCTGTCGACTGCTATAAAAGTATTTTAATATTTTATAATTAAARGCATGATTGTTTCAAGAGAAGCGAACTTTGTAATTTCTTAATATTCACTTATCCTGGAGCTAAATGTGATTCATTGGGGGTTTTGTCACTTTTCTGGGAGGCTTAGGCTAATCAAAAGTGTTTATCTGGGCTGTTTTTGCTATAACAGACGAAAGAATTTTTCCATATGCCCAGTTTGGACGCAATTTTGCGAAAATTCCTTTTTAATTAAATCCTTTTATTCCCCCATTCTCGACATAGGTATGTAAATTAGAGGCAAATTACAACCTCATCAAGAATTCCGGTAAATCATAATAGCCCAGCTACGATCGTAAAAGCTCACAATTATCACGATAAAATTTAATAACATGCCTTCGGCTGAAATTTGTCTACGGATGATATTGCGCTAAAACATGCCATTAGTTGATAAAAATACAACGCTCTCTGGGTATAAATGTTTTCCACAGATGTTGTATATTCACATTTACTGCAGCTGGAAATGCTACTAGTTAGTTAATGTACTTTATCCATCACATTTACAATTCCCTAGAAACTAAAACAAATTTTAGTTTTAAAGCTATGTTGCTTACGTGGCACGGGTATTTATTATGTTCGCTGAAAAATTCTCATGACAAAGAAAGAAAATTCTGTCTCTGTGTGTTTCAATAATTCGTTTGAGTAAAAACGCATTTCGCCAGTTGAAGAGCTTTGTTTCATCCAAGGATTATTAAACCGAAGAAATAACTATAAAAATATACGAGATAAAGCTTGAGAATATATATTTTACGGCCAGGTATAAAAAATACGCTCCTATTTGATTAAGTGAAAAATGTTTATTTATTACTTTTGAATTGATCAGAAATTTAAATGAGTTTTTTTGAAAAAAAAGCTTCAAAAAATTTGCATTCATTTATATGCTTAGTTGAAAGTCGAGAGTTGGTTCGACACTTTTGAATCACTCTGTATACCTTCATTAAAAACAAATGTTCCACCTACACTAATTAGAGCTTTTCCCATGCTTCTCTTTATACAAATAAATAACGAACGTGAAAATACGTATGTTTAGAATAAAATTATTTAATTAATTAACCATATATTGCTCCAATAAGCTATTATACTGCTTATTACAACAAGCAAATTTTTTTAACAATCTAACATGAAAATACAGGGTGTGCATGTAAGGTGAGATACTAGRAATATGGAAAAAATGTTAAAAAAATTTTATCTATAAAAGTTTCGAAATTATGAGAGTTTAAATTTTGTACTTTGACTATATTTATTTTTGTTGGAAAAATAATTTTCCCAGTTTTTCTACTACAGGCTGTTAGAAGAGGAAACAAGGAAGCTGTAAATTGTAACTCTGTTTAGTGTTATTTGTGGCTTTTATTGGCAAAATTTTTGTACCTTTACTAAATAATTATAAAAAACATAGGTATAGAACATCATCTGTATCATTTTCTGACATATACAATTTTTTAAACAGTTTTTGCATCTTTCTGGTATATTATCTTACTTAATTTTTTTCTCTGGAGCGCGAGTTCTGGTTTGCCCATTTTTTTGTTTAAACATTTTCGATAAACTAGCCTTATGTAGATAATAACTGTTTTACAAAAATATTGATAGTTTTGCATCTTGAGGACATTTAACTATGAGAACGAGGAAAAAATGAACAAAAAAATACCCAATTAATTTCACCTTTAATTTTTTTAATTAAGAACAATTTTACGATCAGTGACACATGTGACTGGGCACAATTTCGACGATTTCAACTTTCTTTGGTGTTTCAGTTCTCAGGATTCCAATAAAGGTTCCTTAATTTAACTTTTAATATCAACTATTTACTTTCTTTTATCAGTGTCGTGTATTTTCACAGCGTCGTCTATTTTTAAAGAACTAGAAAAATCAGTAATTTTGCTACATTTCGTACTACTTTTCACAACTTGCTATAAACTTTACCGAGAGTTCTTTACAACTGCGTGAGACAATTTATCATCTTGAAATGATTAAGGGACTATTATGTGTAATTAATAATCTTCAGATACTTTAGATAATCATTCCTGTCAGAAGTGTATTAAAATTAAATTAAAGACACTACATAGATTTTAAACATTATTAAATTTCTTTTTTTCAAAGAAAGATTAAACGCAGTTATTGAAGTAAATAAATAATAAAAAAAATAGGAGATTAACACAGCTGACCCAGTAGCAAATCTCTTTTGGTGTAAACATAAATCCTCTTAAAAATATTACACTGAACTACATATAAAAACGGATAAAATCTGTGAAACTAGTTTTTGATTAAGTGAATACAAGTTGAATTCGTAATAATTTAGATGTTCCATTATAAAGAGTGATACGTTCGCTATTCAGAAATCAGTATAGAATCGCAAATGGTGCGTTGAAGATTTCCACACTATTCTTAACCTTTTGACATAAATATGTAAAAATATAAGACCGCAAAGCAACGTCAGAATACGTAATAGAAAAAAGCTAGGCTCTAGTTCCGGATTTCACCGGAGTTTGTCCGGATTCGCTACGTGGAGCTACAACCCACCATAAATTTTTTAAAACGTCACGACTCCCAAATTGAAAATGACACTTTTAGCGTTCTTGCGAATGCCTTGACCCAATTTAATTTTTACTGCGACGTGGAGTTGAAATAATTTTAAATATATTTTTAATATTTCAACATTGGAATGGCAATAATAGACTGCCGAAATATGCTGTTTATTTTAAGAACTWACTAAATAAATAATACTCTGAAGAATTTCAAAATATAAGAATCTCAAAAATAAATAAAATCTGATTCACTTTTTTAAATTTTGCAAAATTTTTACTCCTATTATTTAAGAGTTATGAGTGTTATGACAATTTTATGACTTTCTCAATAGTTTTATTGTCTTGAATCTGGTAGCGTTTAAGTTTGAGCCTAAAAATAATGATGGTAAAAATGGTTGGCCTCTTTCCGTATTCAGATAATTTTTGATGATTGTTTTCGACCAAATTGGATGCTTTTTATTTATTAAAAGATAAATTTCGCGGAAAAATGTATTATTCTACATCATTTTACGACTTCCCTTTACTGCTTACAGCAGATTGCATTCCTCGTCGAGGCTACACTGATAACTTCTCCAATTTGGACAAATTTCACCTTAAAAAAGAGATTTTCCAAAGCCGTTTCTCCTAATATTCACAATATTGGAACCGTCGTCGAATTTAAATGGCACGTTATAAGATTCAAAGCAAATCTAACCTCTTTAATGTTCGTTCACAGATGGTGGCGGCCGAGTCCGGAGTTGGAACTACCACCGCCGAAGCAGCTGATGGGGGAACAACATTCGGAAAACTGAGACAAACACTTTCTTCCTCTTTACTAACGGCTCAGGATAAAGGTAAAATTTTAATCACTTGCTATTATTAATGTACAGGTTCGGGCAACTAGAAATGCTAAAACACCTAAATGTTGCATGAGACACGAGTAGGTTGCTAAAACTCGCTTTAATAGTGCAGCAAATACTTAAAAAATTCAATAAAGTTTTGCCGACCCTTAAACTTTATATTTGCAGAGTAGAGTGGAACATCGACGTCTTTTCTCCTGATTAAAAGTGAAAATTAAAGAGAGCTAAATTCACAGACACATTTTTTAATTAGCTGGAGAAACAAAGTTGTTTTTAATAAATTGTATTTCAATTTTTTTAGTTTTGAAATTGGTTGGATCCAACTTAACTTAATAACATGTATGTAACAGGTATTTGTTTTTGTTACACTAGAGAAACCTTTAATAAAAAAAATATTTTATGAAAAACTCCGTTCTGAAACATTCCTGAAAATAGCTCTCAGCGAAAATCTAAATAAGATAAAAGGATAAAGCTTCGGTGCAAAAAAGACATCACTACATTAATTCTAGCCACAATTATATTCATTTTATTTCCAACTCCGCAACATCAGAAATAAAATGTGTGTTCATTTCGTAGTTCTGCGCAAATAAAACTACCAGAATGAGTTGGTTAATATCCTAAATCAGGTAATTTAGACGCTAAGCCCTGGAGCTCCGTTCGTGAAAAATTAAAACGGTTTAGATCCGGTATCTGTCTCGAGAGTATTGACAAAATATTTCGCCTACGTATTTTCGTTAGTAATGTGGAAAAATTTATTGGCTTAACATCAGACTAAGTTATGTTATGGGTTATAATTTTACGAGGCGGTCGGTGGAGAGTTTATCGATTATCCATCGCCCTGTGTAAACAGGAAATCGGGGGCACTCATTGAACTAGCTTATCCCGGAAAATAAGAAAGTGATCTCCGAGGAAACAGTCACTCGCATTTCACCAAGCTAAGCCGCAGATGAGAGATTTAGATTTCGTTCGAGGACAAAAATTCTTTTACAGCAAATACACAAAAGTCTGGTTGGCGTAAAATATTGTGAATCTATTTATAGCAAAAATTCTAATCGCTCTCAATTAAATTATTCATATTTTAATTCCCTGATTATTGAAAATCTGCCCCCACTGTGCGAATTTACAAATTCAATTAAAATTTAAACGAACGAAGGTGTAAATGTATTAAGTATAAAAGTCATTAAACGACCGGAAATTTCCGTCAAATTCACCAACTTATTTGATTTACAAAAAGTATTTATAAATAGAAGTTAATTCTTCTTGCTACTTTAGTACAAGACGTGGCTTAAACATTGTAATACTCATTCAAATATTAACATTGCACTATGTAAACTTACAAAGTAAAACTATTTAACAGAGAGTTGTGACATGAAAACGAGTACTAAGTAAACAACCCAAATTTCATACAATTACACAAAACTAGCATTTTTTCAGCAATTTTAATTTTCTTATTATTTAATTTAAAATGTTTTTTAAGTAATAACACACCACAAACTAAGTCTATTTTTCACTTTGTTTGAATAACAAGTTTTGTGAAAATCGGATTTCAAGTACAACAAATACTCAGGATGTCAGTCAACAACCGACAACAGTGTGTGTCAACCCACACAAAACTCACGTTTTCATATCTTTATATCGTATCGCAAGAGATGGATACACAATTACTTCCTAGTCAGCCTGTCCTTAAATGCTTCTTTTCAAGCTGACACAAATCATAATTCTGTATAAAGAAATATCAAGAGCGAACACAAAAAATGCTCCTCGAAGCTGTTAAACACAATATTAATTATTACCACATTTCAACAATGTTAATTTTTAAATCGCTAAGACTATGTACAGGGCAGCTAATTTATCAGATCTTTTTTATTTCCAGCTTTATAAATTACCTGAGGATGTAGTCTTAAGACTCCTCTATACACCAAAATACAATTTTTCTTCATTATTCTGATATTAAAATCTTTACACCCACATATTGTGCAGTTGATTTTTAATTTAGTCTAACATGTAATTATATTAACAAAATAACATGACAATATAATTAGGATCAATATCAGTTGCAAACTGATAATCATCGTTAATTTAATTTAAAGGCTTTTGTCAATGTAATTATATATTCTTGCGCTACATCCTTTCAAATAAACAACAATGACAAAATAAATTAGATACGTAAACAAAAACTACATTTGCACTCTTCTAATGTTTTATATGAAAATTTTGAACTTTATCCGGAATGGAAGAAAAACTATGTACTTGTATTTAGTTTAGTAATATTACAGTGATTCATTCTACAGAACTAGAATTAATACTTAAAAAAAATATTAAAAACTTTCGTCGCTTTTTTGATACATTACTTGGGCTTCGAAAGCACTTGCTACTTTTTAGCTATTAAGGTAACAAGAGTTTTAAACTATAAAACTTGTGTTGTCTTCAAAATTTTTTCTAATACTAATATTGAATCATTTTACTAAACTCAAAAATTGTTGTAAAGAATTTCGTCAAAATTAAGACAACACAATGCCAAGATAAGAGTATTTTATGTAGTTATAAAATACGTTGTAATTGACGAAGTATTTTATAGAAGAGCGTATATTAATGACAACATAAGAGGTAATAAGCTTAAATGCACCATAGAAAGATATTAGTGTTGGCWTTTTTATTTTAATGTTAGGAATTAAAAATCATAGATAACAGTAGTCACTGGCTTTATTACTGTTTTGTATTTATTATAGTTATAAAAGTACTCCATTAAAGATGTTACGAGAACGAAATTTTTTCAATTGAAAATATAAATTAAAACAATCTACTCCGATACTATAGTAGGTACATTTCATTGATGTAACGGAACAAAAAAATCTAAGCTCGTTTATTCGGATTACAGTCATTTTGGACGTATGTAGTTTATCATTTTTATATAAAGTATCCCTTGCGTGCAACTGTGTAATATTTTTGTTTTTATGGCTCATATACATACCTACATACATTATGTACACTCCAACACGTTATGGTAGTAAGAATATGAATAGTGATTTTTTCAGYAATTTTCTAATTACTAATTTTTAACAGATTAGTTTTTAAGATAAAATAAATTCAACAAAAGTTTYATTGCTACAGCTAACAAATAGGCTAAAACTATTCAAATTTTTATTAWTAGTCCTACATAAAAATATACCTACCACTGCTTCCACCTTTTTTCCATTAAACACAAAATTTATACAATTTAAAATTAATATATGTAATTATTAAAATTTCACAACAATTCTTCACACATTTTTTGTGAAAATTGTTTACTTCTCCGTCAAAAACTCACACACTTTTTATTTTATGACTTATGAGTGTTAATATCAATGTAAAAATTGAAATATATACATACTTTGATTTATTTCAAAATCGTCTTAGGTAGTTATAAAAATTATAAATTACTTATTCATTGAAAAAAAAAATTGTATACCACTCGTGAGACGTGTTATTCAYATGCAGAATTCTGCTAATGGATCAAAAATGCATTTAATCACTTGTAGTACAAATAGCTATTATGAAAATAGGTACTTTTCTTAATATCAATATATTTAATGAAATTTCGTACTTTTGCTGTAAATTTTCTTAATGTTCACAAGAAAATTATATTCACACAAATTATAATTCATTCTTTTGTGTGATCAAATCATGAAGATAAAAAAATTACGCAAGTTTTCACGCTGAATTTACAAAAGTAAAAGGGTTGATAAAGCTTTTAGGCTAAATTATATYGTAGCTAACAAAAAACTAATATGCCTAAATCTCTCGTGCATCGATTATTATATWCATTTATTGACCTACAAAGTTTTCTTTGGCTTGTGCGTGACCTAAACCTATTTATTAGAACGAGTGATGGTCTTAACCCAGTTAATGCAAGTCTCTGGAATCCTTCGTTGTTTATAGATTCGATATTTATCTTACAAACCATTTTACTTTCAARTAATTACTTTCCACTCTTGCTCATTTAGTTGAGATGTAAATAGATAATCCAATTCTTGTTTTTGTACAGGTTTATAATAATTATAATAATGAAAAATATGCTCAATTMAAAAATACCTATGTAGATACATAACTCGCGCCCCAGAGAAAACCAGATACCAGAAATATGGAGAAAATGTTTGACATTTGACATTTTTTTGTCTATTTAGTGATAYTGATGATCTTGTATGTTTTTTACAATTATTTGGTAAAGGTATAAAAAATTTTCCAATAAAAGCCATAAATAACATTGAACAGAGTTACAATTTAGGATACAGCTTTCTTGTTTCCTCTTCTAATAGCCTGAAGCAAAAAAACTTGGAAAATTATTTTTCCAACAGAAATAAATAGTGTCAAAATGCAAAATTTAAACTCTCAGAACTTCGAAATTTTTGTAGATATTTTTTTTTWAATTTTTTCCMTGTTCCTGGGGCGCAAGTTTTGGCGGMTGCTGTATATCCAATAATGTGTGTACACAAAACAAAACCTCTCCATTAGGTAATCCGAAATAAAAATAAACTCTCCACCATCTCGTTAGATAGCTCTCCGCGGGCAGACTAATCAGATTAAATAAATCCAAAGAATTAATTAATTTTAAATTCCGTGTTGAATTAACTGCAGGTAGGTAGCAAAGTTGAAATGACTTTGTATAACTCGGAATCAGCAATTTAAAAACTACAACTAAATGGAATTTTCTTTGGTATCGCCTCCTAGCATCATAAATATTTATTTACTTTAAGTTTAATGAGAGAATGCATCTGGCTATAAAAAGTTTCACGGTGAAAGATTTCTCTAACTTTTTAAAAGGCTAAATAACTTGAGTTASTTGAGGACTTTAACGTTAGCTCTGAGATATTTTATGCAGGGTGCACACAGACAAATGTTCGAAAATTAATTTACCGTGAAAAGCTTTAACACGTACAAATAATTTCTATGCGCTGAGAATAAAAATGGCGAATGTTGAATCACATTTAAGCTGCTTTTAATTTATTCYATTCGTTTGAAAAGTTAAATATCATGCTTGAAAATATATTTACTCYTCGATGCGTACGAAATATCGATTAAAAAATGTCCTTCTCAGTGCATTCTCAGTGATATTGCACATAACGACGCAGGTATCGTATTGATTTTTTAATATTGAAGTTTCAAGCAATTTCATTTTGTATGTTTTGGGATTGTAGATTGATGGAGGTTCCATAGGTTTGATTAAAAAGTACAGCTTATCTTTTTATTTTGCCCGACTATTTTACCTTTCTAGAATAAACAGAAATAAAGCAATTGAACAATGTTTTGTCAAGAATTTTAATTCTGTTGCCAAACATAAAAAAAATTCTGAGTAAAAACAAAGAGAAATGGATTCAGGAAGTTAATTGCAACAGCAGCATTTTCACTTCAGCAGGCTGAAAAATGATCGTGAGCAAAATTAGGTGTTCGTTCACCCCTGATCGCTCCTAAATGTTCCGTGATTAATCCATGTGAAAATTTTATTATGCGGCACTAGTCTAACTAGAACGTGTCATCTGGAAATAATCGTATTTCCCATTTCCCTTTTGATTAAATCGATTTGATCATCGTTTTTCTATTATCCAACTCATTGATGTTTGTTTATTTCAGTGACGAAAATGTCCCCGAGACCGTCATTAATACCGGATATCGAGCCGTCACCCCCTGCCGATGAAAAGCCGCCGGTTACGATGGCGCCTCCAACTCCTCCTGTGGTTAAACCGGAGCCCGGTAAACCCCCCAGTAGAGCGGGAGCGTGCCGGGTGTGCCTCAAGGCTTTTAAACCCGATGATTTCAGCAGGACGTGTGCCGAATGTACGCAGCGAGTGTGCGAGGATTGTGCCAGTTATAGCAAATTAGCTGAAGATGAGGATCCCACCAACTGGACCTGCAGCGTTTGTAGAAGGTTTGCTATTATGTGAATAAACCTCTTATCCCTTCAGAAGATAGCAAAACATGAACAAATTTATATTATATTTTTCGCATTTTTTTATTAATTAATGTGCATCGAAGTAGTCGTTGAAAGGGATGATTTTAAGATGGCAACCATGCAAAAATCCAAATAATCAAAACCTCATCTTCCCTATAAATTATTTTTTCAAATAAATGTGTACCCCCCAGGTAGCAAAAAATTATTAAAATTATCAACGTAATTAACATAGAGATTTTTGCCATTATTGATGTGATTAACTTTGTTCTGAATTATATCAATGACACTTTTTGTGTAAATCAGCCTTTAAGTTAAAGATGCATTTAGACTTCTACAATATGCTTGATGCACAATAATATGAAAATGAGTGTATAAAGGGTAAAAAAAAATTCATCACTGCATCATACTTATTTTTAATTTGGGTTTTAAATACACATCAACAAAAATTAACTGAATTAATGAAATTAATTGTTTCCATCCACAAGTCTTTTTTTACATTTATTTTACCAAAAAAAGATATTTTTGAGATTCAAAAAACTAAACAATAAAAAAATTTCAATATTGTTTCTTTGCCAGATAGAGAAAAAAGCACAAAAACTTTGTACTATTGGGCTATCACGCTTTTAAAAGTAAATATCTTACATAGGTGAATACAACCTATTTATTATTTAGAATAATAAGACATAAATAGTAGCAATTTTAACGTATTTTAGTGTCAAAAACTATCATAATCTTTTAAACGAGTCATTTTGAGTTACGTCGGCTTTGTAACTCTTTCAAGATTTTACGTTTTTGGACATTTTTTATAAATATCTGTCACAAAATAATTGTGTATTGCATTGCTTTTTATAAAGCTTGTACTAGAAGCTAAAGTTTCTGTAAATATAAAAGTAAATCAAATAATTTTTGAAAAAAACAAAATAATAATCTATAAAATCAAAATTTCTTTCACCAAGACTTCATTCTAAATAACTTATTGAAGCTAAGGACTTAAACCTTTTAAATCACCAGACACATTTTTACATATTAAAAATGATAATAATCCAATGATAATTAATTTGACACATCTAAAATTTGCTTTGAAGTAAAAAAATCCAGAAATGCAATTTAAATCCATAAACAATTTATTACGGTAAAAATCTACAATAAAAATACCAAATAATTTTTTAAGCGTATTTGAACTACAGTAAACTAGTCTGCACTGTAATGCAATCTAAATGAAGTAATTTTTAAATTTTTTGCTGAATTTAGAGAAAAAAGTTTTTACTCGCAAACGTCACAAAAGTGACCTTTGGCAAGTTTCACCTTTTAAGCATAGAGTAAAAACTTTGTTTTTTTGCTAAAAAGTTTTTTACTTTTACCATGACATTTACCATTGTTTTTTGCTGCTTCAGCATTTTCTAGAGAGGTACATTGTAGATCATTAGCATTCGACATTTGGCTACTAACTGCACTAGTCATCCACAAGTAAAATAATAAACACTTTCAAAAATCTCAACATAAATTCGGATAATTAATTATGAATACGTTTGCGGATAAAATAGTAGATGTTATTTAGAGTAAGTGAGTTTATGTGGCTCAGCTGAATTATTTGCCTCACTGTGTTCGACAAAATAAAGTTTTAGTGTCACCACATCTATCACTTTTACTCCTAATAACATAATATATAATACTATTTGCTCTTTGCTAAAATAGCATTATTACGCATCTATTCATTTTCTATTATAGTCACTCTATAGTCACTCTTCCAGCTTCAATCTCAATAGAGATAAGCTTTTTTAAGAAAGTTTATTAAAACAGTATGTCTTACATTAGAGTATTTTTTTAATTAACAATGTTTCAAAATAGACACAAAATTCTATAACAAAAACTTTCAAAAGTAGGTATGTCCTACATAAATTTTAAATGAACCCAAATGCACTAGCGTGTTTTACCGAAAACACTACAATTATTTAGTATTTTTAAGAACTTGAAGCAAAGTTTGTTTCTAATACATAAATTAGCTATGAGGAAATTCCTCTAACTAAATCTTCATGCAGAACTACTGTTTCCATGCAAATTGAATCATTTATTTTAACAAGTTGTCTTGCATCGAGATTAGATGCTAGGTATCTAAAAATTGATGCATTTATAATTAATTCAGTCAAGTGTTTCAACAATTCCAACAGAAATGAGTTACCAGAAACAAAAAGTAAAAAGTAGCGGCTTAGGTGAATTCACCTAGTCTGTTTTTTTTTAATTATTAAAGGAAGTTGGCAGTTCCGATTTTTTAAATTAATTTGAAAACAATGTCATTAAAGTCAACACAAAAAAATGTCTAAGAAAAATTATAGACGAAACACCAAAAACGGAACAAATTTGGAACCGCTAACAGTTTTTAGAAATTTGGAAACGAAAGAACGCAATTAAATCAGTGTCTTGTGCATCGTTTTTGAGAAACCAGTTGAAAAAGTAACAATTTTGAAACTAAATCTGGARAAAAATTTATAAAATGCATCAACTTTGAGCTCATTTCAATAAATTACACAAAATTTATTGCCAATCATCATAATACCCACTTGTATCTTTTGTTAAATAACTTTTTTCTGTATATACTTCCTTTTTCTTCCAAGTTTTTCTAGCAAGAACCTCATTTTTCTTTACAACATTGTACTTACTTGCGAGGTGTTTCTACCAAAATTATTAGCACTGAACTTCAGGTAATGATGTGTGTCCCCAAGTATTCAATTATAGCGTTTTCAAAGAGCAAACGGGCACACGAGATTTATAAAGGTCAAAATTTTGACAACATCTTAATTTAAAAACATAACCATAATTTTTTAACAAAATTTCTAGGGACAAAACCAATTTTTTCATCAAAATTTTGACTTGGTAATTTCCATTTAAAGAAAAAACAGACTTTAACTACTTTATTTTTTAATTAATGAATAATGAAAAAATCACAATTGGTTTGCTGATACAGAACCTAAAACCTCTTTTGTTAAAATAAGTGCAGACAAAGCGATACATTAACAATGTACAACACATAATGGCTAAAAAGAACCTCTTTTATCTCACCCAGTTCTTGTAAGTGTACTTACAACGCCATAAAACACATGATAAAAGAGACAGTGGATCATCGGTTAGTTACGTTATAACAACTTTCGTAATTACTTTACGAGATAAATCAATCTTTACGAGTCATCACGTAGAATTTGTATTATTTTCATTAGATTATAAATAAGGATTTTGTTGATTAATAAAAATTAAGGTATCAAGGTGGTAATTTTCATATTATCGTTTGTGTCGAGTATTAAAATATTACAGGCCGGCACTCGTGTGACATATCTATTATTAAACCGCTCAAAGTTATTGCCCTTTTATCGCGTTAAAAAACCCTCTCTGAAGTCAGCGGGAGTTTAATCATGTGATTGATTAGCTTGTTGTAAAGCTAAGGGTTGGATTAACATATTTGTTGTTGTAGGAAATTGCAATCAAGAGCGGCATTGGCTCAAGACTCATCGGAGAGTTTGTTGGACGTTCCAATACAAGAATTACAGAGAAGGCATTCCGAGGCGCGGTTGGGATCCGGGGGTGGCTTGACGACGGGAATGGGGAGCGGTTTAGCCCCACCTCGTAGCCCGGAACTTAGGAGGCACTCGGATGTGTCCCCTGCTTCGCTCAAGGAACTGGAAAAGGTAAATGTAATTCCATAATGGACTGTTGTTCGTCCTCACTTAAGGTCTTTCATATGGATTGAGACAAACCACCCGCTACACCAAACACAAAAAAGTTCGTATTTTAATGTTTTCCCAGTAAGAAAAAAACAAGTCTTACAGTTTGTTGTATTTTAATTTTTTTAATTTAAATTCTCACCACCAAAGATATAGTCCTAAAATTTTTATAACACACCCGTTGTGATTTGTATACCAGAACAACTTTTGTATTTTTCAGAAACTAATAACTAGTCAGAAACATAAATTATTTATTATTACAGTTTCCAACAAAAAAAATACTAAATTTAATAATAATGAAAGTAAAATTATTATCTAACTAAACACAACAAAAACCTGAACAAAATAAACTATTTTAGGTTTTTTGAATTTTGTTAAATCTTACACTAAGAATAACATTCTTAAAGCTTAAGTTAAAGAGATTTTTTTTCATGAATAGAATAAAATTCACTTTATTTTTTCTATCTGCACCATTTGTCTGATATCATTTCTTATTCTAACCGGAATTGACTTCGTACGTCTTTTTCGCTGCGAATATATTTCAACTTGCTCGCCTCTTTTCTTATTTTTCACACTAACTCTTACTCTGAAACCTAAGGGTTATCGCCCTTTGAATCTTTGAGAAGTGTTTTTCCTCTACGATATTCTTGACATAATGTATCTTTTGTGGAACTGTCGGTTCGCCATATTTCGACTTTGTAAAATTTGCTGACCGGAAACCAGCATTTCTTTTTTAAACTACCAAAATTGAATTTAAAAATGTGATAGCAAGCCACGTAGAAAAGATTTTTTTTCTCTAGATTATTAGTTACTTTGTACAAATTCATTTGAAATAAATTATATTTAAAAGATGATAATAGTTTTCATCACTACTTTAACAATTCTTTCACATATATAATTATTACAAAGACAATAGCTTCCATTCCACACATTTACTTGCATAAACTTACAATTAAACACTACTCAAATGAATTTTAATTATTGYCTCAATTCGCTTCCATTCGCAGTTATCGCTTTCCATTTATCGGACTAATCGCTTTGTATCGCCGGCCCATCGTCACCTGTATGAGTATATGAGGGCCCGAAGGGATATTCCTAAAAATTCAAGACTTTTACCCCGAACATTGAAGAATTTTACCGAAACATCTAAATACTTGGAATCACAACGGGTCAGAAATAGCTCTTAGAATGATCCCCAAGGCTGAAAAACATGAAAATTGTAGCACGCTTTAGACAAAATACGCTTTTTCACAAATATTAGTACTCCCTACTTACATACAATAGTATTAATAGTTTTTGATGCACTTGATCAAACAATGCAAAACTAACAGCTATAAAATGTTATTTCACAATTATTATATTACTCATTTCTTTAGTAAATATACTCGTATTGCTTGAGTTATTATTCAATATGTTTAATTATGCAGCATTTTTTACAATGAGATCAAAAAGTCTTTCTATGAAAGCAGCGAAGAAATTTACAACGTATGTCCGCAAAACATAAAATGTCTTAAATGACAAATGAGAAAAATCAAAATAATTTATACAGTAAATTATGACAGGAAACCGTGTTTTTTGGCTAAACACYCTCGTATTAGAGTATTTTAAAAGGTTCCAAAAAACAGTTCAATTTACTTAGATCAATATTTCAATTTTTATTAAATAATTTTTGACATCTACTTAATATATGAACTACCATAGCACATACGTCCTCAACTAGTACGCCTATATTTTTTGATAGAAATACTTTTTGATCGCATTGCTTATGTATGTACGAAAGTAATTCAGAAAAAAAATTGCCTAGCTCTATAAAAACAGACGATAACATTTTTATTAGTCATTAAATAACTGAAACATTATTTGTGATTTAAATGCCAGTTTCGTGTCAGTTGTTATATTTATTACAATTTAGCATTTTGCGAAAAAATTAAACAAATAAAATAGAGCAGCAAAGTGTTTATTTTCTGAAGAAAGGTTAGGAATAAATGCATTAGCGTCGAAGAATGTTATCTTAAAAAATAAAATTGTGAAAATGAGAGACTCTTTTCGTGTCTAGGTAACTTTTTTTCTGAATTTTCCTCGTATATAATTTAATAATAATAATAATTCAGTAAGACACATTTGAGTGTAATATAAATTATATGGAAAAACCGCAGATATTTAATTTAATTTAAATTTAATTTAATTTAATTTTGTTATACAGAGTGGCATAGCTTTCAACCGCACAACTATATAATTGCTATACAAAATTAATAAAAAGTTTAAAACCAAATGTTTTTTCTTATCATTCGCTTTCAGAAAATAAGAAATAATAAAAATTATAGAGTTATAAAACCTGTGATAGTGTTTTGAAATTGAAAATTTGTTTTGTTTTGTAGTTTTATCAAAATGGCAACTTATATAAACAAAAAATAAAAATGAAATAAAATCTAGGTAGTTGTAATCTTTAGAACACAGCTTTTGAAAGAAAAAAGTTTTATAGTGAATTGCCATTGAAAAAAATTAAAACTATTGCAAAACTCAAAAACAAAAGATAATGATAAGACGTCACATTTTTATATTACATAATCATTCATTAATTAGTTTAAATAAATTAGTTAAAAAATAAATAGTTATATTAACACTGTATAATATGAC